TTTACAAATAAATAAGTTTAAATAGGTCACTATTGGTGGATTTCATTATTATTTGTTATATATATATATATATATATAGAGAGAGAGAGAGAGAGAGAGAGATTATATACAATGGATTAAATCCAACAGATATTTTAATATATTTTCTGTTTATGTTATTTTTATGGATACAATTTATTTGAGAAAATGCACTATTTTTTAATTAAAGGATACTAATTACATTAATTACAAATAAGTTGTATCCATAAAAATAACGTATAAACAGATAATATATTAAAATATATATATATATTTAATCATTTCACCTCCAAGCAAGGCAATAAAGCCACTAAGATGCAAGAGGCTATTGAATATTAGAGAATATGACAAAAAAAAATCACCATTAAGGAGAGAGAACAATAAAAGAAAAGGAATTAAGAAAATAGGAAACGAAGATGTCATTGCATTTAAATTTTTGAACATCAAAGTTGATTGGAAAGCAAGAATCCAGAAGAGGGTTCCACAAGTGAGAAGAGTGATAGAAGAAACTATTAGCCATTTTAGATTAAAGCTAGATCTCATCAAATGATGAGACCTAGCTGCCAACCTAGTACTGCGCTTAAATTCAAAAAGTCTAGGTACTATAGAGTAAAGTTCAATAGAGGGATTACCATGAAAATATTTATAGAAAGGGAAGCTATGTTACAGCAGTGGGAAAGTGACTGGAGCCAAGATGTCACATCAGGACCAATAACATTGCAGATTACTCTATGCATATTTAGTTATTATGCATCTGTGTACAGTTAATTATATGAAACGTATGTTTAATCATTAGTTGGAAATACAATAAATTAAAAATTTGTGTGTGTATGAATATTTGTTCCCCCCTGTGTATATATATATTATTTACATTATTTGGACTAATGTCTTCATCTCTGTCGCCATATTTATCACAACATTTCGGCCGTTGTACGCTCAGGCCTTCTTCAGGTGGTTGGAATTTCGAACTGAACACTTTATTTCGCTCACTGGAGTAGACTGTTCTAGTTCCACATGCCATGTTTGATGGATGTCAGTTATCAGTTATCTCCTTGAGGACACATGGCACAGTGGATAAAGGCGTTGGTTAGATCCAGTGGCAGGACCCAAAGAGTGTGAGTTCAATACCCGGTTAAGGCAGTGGAGAACTTTCAGAGGGAAAATTATCAGGAGATAACTGATAACTGACATCCGTCAAAAACATGGCTCGTGGAACTAGAACAGTCTACTCCAGTGAGTGAAATAAAGGGTTCAGTTCGAAATTCCAACCACCTTAAGAAGGCCGGAGCGTACAACGGCTGAAACGTTGTGACAAATATGGCAACAAAGATGAGGACATTAGTCTGAATAATGTAAATAATGTACATAATACCTCATCTCAGAAATATATATATATATATATATATATATATACACACACACATATGTACATATACACACATATATACACAAATATGTATATATATACACACACACATGTATACACATACATATATACTCACATATAATATATATGTGTGTGTGTGCGTGCGTGTGTGTGTGTGTGTGTGTACAGAATTGACATATTTTATATTTGAAGGTTCTTTTGATAATGCTCTTTGTGTTTATATAAAAGTATTTTGCACAAAACCTAATGTAAATATCAGCTGAAAGAGGAACATAAACCCCATTGTATGTGTCGTGCGGAAACAGGACAACAAGAGCCAGTGTAGTAGTTGTTGCAATAGTGAATGATGCACAGGTGCTGGTTACTGACAGAAATATCGATTAAACTCTTTCCATGGCCACCAGAATAGAGTGAAATATTAAAAATGAAATGAAACAGTAATTCTGCCATTGTGCAAAAAGAAAAAAAAAGAAATAAAAAAGCAGTAGACTTGTTTTGAGTTTGTTATCACGATTATCAGGTGGAAAGAAATAAAATATGAAAGAAATGGTAGCCCCTTGGTTCGATATTTAGGAGGTAATATTAAGAGATTTCATTTGTTTTCTTTATTTCTAGTTAAAATTGATGTTAGCAAAAGTAGCAAGGTGTTAGATGTTTTTGATGAAAATTATTCCTTAAATATTATCCTTACCAATGTGAATATATTCAATGCCACAGAACTATAGCGACATGTGAAATGATTTATGATATACATAGAATGTTGAAAAGTCTGTATTACATACAAATAATCATTTTATTTTTATTTATTTTATATTTAAAATACAAAAGAATTTGATTTAACAAGTTTCTGTAAGTTTGTACAAACAATATATCTATTATTTCATCTGTCCCATAATAGTTGATACATTTTGTATATGAAATGTGTACTCAAATGTATCAATTATTATGGGATAGAGGTAGTAAAATATTGCAATCTGCATCCCATAATAGTTGATACATTTTGTACATGAAATGTGTATCCAAATGTATCAACTATTATGGGACGGAGATAGTAAAATGTTACAATTTCTATCCCATAATAGTTGATATATTTTCTACATGAAATGTGTAAACAAATGTATCAACCTCTGTCCCATAATATATTCTGTGCATAAATTATATATGTAAATGAATCGACTATTTCAAGAAAAGCTTAGTATAATCATCTAAGGTACTACCATTTTCCTCTAATTGTTTTTATAAGCTTAGTTTAGTTTGACACAAGGCCATGGAGCGATTTGTGAGGTGTTAACTCTCTATTCAGCAGTTATAGTCAACTAGACTAACTTATTAAAAATACCACATATCAAGGCAATTCCTGTCCCATAAGCATTGTTACATTTAGTGTATGAGGTTTACTGCCTTTTAATCATTTTAGAAAAATATTTGCCTTCCATTAACCTCAAGGTGAGTGACTCATTGTGCCTTCTTAGTCTCATGTTTTTCCACTAGCATAAAATAGAATTGTATTGAATCAAGGAAAGTGTGTTAGGATTTTTGAGGATAAGAGGAGCAATAACAATATGTTGTCTCATTAGGAACTGATTTTATTTCAGTTTCAACAAGAATTTTTATAAAATTTGGTCTACTGATAGGCTCACCACTTAGTGTATTACCAACATACCTTATCCTAGAATTTTTATAATCTGGCCCCTTTCAGTGTATTCTCCTAAAAGACACAACATATTTCTGATACACTGACAATGCCCTATGAATATACCCACACGATAAATCACTACCAGAACTTATCGATAGATTAAGCAGGATAGAACATACAATCGATTTCACTTATGAAACAGGACCAAACTATACTTTACTATATGTCAATGTCATGTTAATACATATATATAAGGATATACAACTAAAGATCTATCATAAATCCACAAGTAATAATGATCTTATAGCTTTCTATTCTCATCCCAATAAAATAAAATCCAGAGTAATCATAGGTTTTTATTTAAGAACTCTTAGAATCTGCAGGACCCAATTCCTGAATATAAAAACTCAATTTTCAGAACAATAGGTTAAATACAACAAATTTTATTCAGTAGAATTTATTTCATTTCCTAGGTATGAAAAAGATTCAACAGATTTTATTGACTCACCTGAGACTGATTATTTATTTATTTCCATCTACCACATGAGGTTCTTATTCTTATGCATGGAGGCAGCTTGATGCTGTTTTGGGGTTGTTTTAGCTCAAGGGGGACTGGACAATTAATTGCAATAAGAGGAATAATAAAATCTGCAGACTGTATCAAAATTCTGGATAAGAATCTACAATTATCAGTGCAAAATCTTCATCTAGATTGGTGATTTACTTTCCTGCAAGATAATGATCCCAAACATGTCAAAGTCAGTGGTTTCAGCAAAAGAATTACAATTCTGCCATGGCCTTCAATGAGCCCTGACTTGAATCCTATTGAAAATCTATGGCAAGAATTGAAAGTTTGAAGTAATTGTCAATCATCAAAAAACCTTCAGGAATTAGAATATGTAACCATTGAAGAATGGAAGAAAATCTCAGGAAAGACTTGTTCAAATCTCATCAAAAACTTTAGAAAATGATTGCAGCAAATTATAAAGATGAGAGGCCATGTTATTGACTATTAATATTGTGAAAATTTTTCAATTTTTTTCTATTTTTCATACTGTACAAATAATTTTGTCTTGTCCTATTTTGCATAATTTAACTGCCAAATTTGTTGTATTTAATTTATTGTTCTGAAAATTGAGTTTTATATTCCTTTTTTGGTGCTTATTAACATCTGTGGGGATATTGTCAAGTATTCACTGCCATTCAAGAGAATATCACATAGAACCAAAGAAAAGAGAACAGCTAATGACATTTTCTTGTTTCTTGGTACTTTGTTTAGCTTTAGGAATGCAACTTTTGCTAACTCAATGTGCATTCAGATTTTGAGATCACATTTTCCTTACCTTATTGAAAATATAAGGTGATAGGATTCTTATTGCCCCTCTTATCCTCAAAAATATGAAACACAGCTAATGCCAGCTGCAGGCAAGAATTTGGAGTGAAAGAATGTTAAGTGTCTATCTGAAACCAATTAATTGCTTTCTGTCTTCCATTTCCCTGTGGTCATCTGTTTAAAATATGGTGCAAACTTGTATTATCTTCAGAAAATCAAACATGGATTAGTAGAACCAAAAAAATAAAAAAAAATCTAACTATGATATGAACTTTTATATCAAAAATACTATTCTTTAAGAAAACTAAGAATAGATTGATAGTTATGCATTATTTACATCTACATGCCTTACTGCTAAAGATTTATAATATAGAAATGCATTGAAAATGAATTTACTATAGAAATGCATTGGAAATTATTTTATTAGAGGAATGCATTGAAAGTGGTTTTCTATAAAATATATTGGAAATGATTTTATTACAGGAATGCATTGGAAATGA